TTTGTTGTCCCAAGAGAAAGAGAAACATACTTTAGAGCATTACTCTTAGGCAAATATTTTTCAGCTCCAACTCGGATTGTTCCTTCAGTACTAATGAAAATTAATTTGGTCTTTTATCTTAAAGTGAAAGATGCTCATTCATCAAAGCGCATTCAGTCTATTAGAATATCAGTTTCATCATACAAATGTGTATAAAGAAACAACATTTTTTTTTTTACAGTGGTGGAAAATGGAGGAGGTAACCATGTCTAATTTTTCGGGAGGAAGGTTGAGCTGAGCATAACGCGGTCAGCAGCATGACAGCATCAGGTCATCAGCACCACACCAACACTGCCCGCTGCTCCTCAAGCCTGACCTTGCCAAAGTCAAGTGTTGAGTTGCTGATGCCCCTTAACCCAGCGTGGGCCGCTCTGGATGCTCTTACCAAAGGAGGGTTCTTACCAAAGCTAGCACTCCCTAATTGCCTCCACATGATTCCAAAACCTTGACCCAAACCTGGCTGGCACTTCATCTCCTTTTCTTGTCTGTCATTCGTTGGGTTTTTCTGGCAGAATTACACCCGTAGCGGGGTACCTGGCTCACATCCAACAGCATCAAAATATTGTCAGGACCACTCTCTGTGCTCACACTACCCTTGTTTCCAAATTAACCTTTGTAGCAACGCGTCCTCTCGCCTGCTCTGTTCCCTGCCTCTCCCTCATCTCGTCCTGTGGGTGAATTAATAAAACCTTAATTTCCTCATTAGCCCTGTCAATTCATGCAGGGAGTAATAGGCATTACTTGGGGGAAGTGCTTTCTTACATACAGAGATGTACCATTGACAATTAGCTTCCTGGGACTTTTTTTTTTACAGATAGGGGGATGGCGTGGGGTTGAATGTCTTCTTACCTTGCACGTGTTAAGCAAGTTGTTGTCTCAGTGGCTTGCGGATTTTTCTAAGGAAGGAATGGCTGTATTTTTGCTTTTTGGCTTTGAAAAAGGATGCCCAAAGTCAAATGAATGACCAAATGACCAAGTTTAGCAGCTTTTCATTTTGTCTGTATTAATTTTTCTGTTTTTTATTTTATTTATTGACAGTTTCTGTTTTGTAAACCAAGATTAATCTACACATACCCTAAGTATCTACTGCCAATGAGCAAATGAGACCACTAACATCAACATGGTATCATAAAATAAATAAATAAATGCCATACTCACTGTATGAATCCTCACATAATCCAAAATTTTAAAATACAATCACAATTGGTACATACTCATATTTATGATAGTGTATCTTTATGACAGAATATAGTTTACCATTTCTTTTGTTTAATAAAGGATAATTCAACAAACTAATAAATTAAGCATTAAAACATATTTATTTAGTATTAGGGGATACAAGTAGCTTTTATTATTCTGCATTAATTCTTCTTGGTGATTTTACGTAGACATATATTGTTGTGGAATTTTCATTTAAAACAACTTAGTCCGTCTGAGGAAATAGGAAATAGAATTTCAACAAAAGAGAAAACTTCATGAAGTGAGAGCAACCAATGACAAGAGGAAAATGACCAGAACTAAACATATAATAGGAAGTCTGCTGGAGTTGCTCCATTCTGGACTCCACCATCCAGGAACTCTCCGCTCAAGTGCAAATAAGGACAAAGTGACTGATCAAAAACACTACATTTTCGCAAAGACATTTATTCCTTTTTATGTAAGTTGATTGTAACATGTCATCCTAATAGCTTTGTGTGTATGTTTCTTAATATTTTCCTATTTTATGCATATTCATTGACTGTGGACATTTGCTCTATGCTCATATATCTGTATCTTCCTGAAGGCAATGTGGCTAAAAGTATCTTCATCTTCACCTAAATTTCTCTGGTGAGTGACCCTGTGACTCATATTAATGGTGAGTCACACTATAAAGAAAAACCAGCAGCAGCTACTTTTCAAGTTAGCGTTTTTTGCTAGATGCTGAGGCAAAGGTCAATATTTTTTCTCCACCTTCAAAATGGAGACAGGCATAAAAATAGTGTAGTGTTATTGCTTATTTTGAGAACTTTGTAATGTTATGTAATACACACTGTATTTATGCTGTTCTTTATGCCCTGCAGTGCAAAAAGTTACATGTTTCCAGCAGAGATTGAGGTTGCTTTGAAAAGGTGCTGCATTTTGAGGAGAGGAAAAAATGTGTGCTATGAGAATTGAATTTCAGAGAAGTCTTTTTTTGCTAGTTGTATAAGCATAGTATATATTTTAGGTTGGATCCATCTTATCAGCCAATATTTGAAGTTAAATTCTGTTGAAATTGTGGAGTTTTATCATCAAAGATTTGATCTTGAGGTTTGCCTATCACATAAAAAACAATTCAAAAGGCTCATGATGAATGATGGAAAATGTATTGTAAGCCATTCATAAGATAGGTAGCAGAACTCATTCTGATGTTAAATCACTTGCCATCTAATGTTAAAAGTTAGACTTTTTAGTTAAAAAAAAAGTTTTGACAGCACACTGACAAAAAGCACGTTCGATTAGCAAGACCGAACGAATTCTGTCTGAATTACTCCTCCAGATAAGAATGCAATGTGATGGTTGTCGTTTGTGATTTCATGTGACTAGAGGACTGAGTTATGCAGTGGACACTCAAAGCTGGCACGTGTGCAGCAATGAGTGGGAGTTTGGCAGAGGCTATTGACTGAAGGAGGGCTGCTGGTGCAGCCTCTGGGAGACTGTGTTCTTTGTCGGAGGGTGTATTCTCAGTCACAGCACAGCGGGACATCACAGCTTGCATGGTCAACACATGTCTTTAATGTTTCAAGTTTCAAAAACAAAGCCTCAAACGAATCTACCCATGGAATACAGATCTATTAAATGTTTGCTTTGGGCATCTAATTTTCTCTCTCTTTTTTTTTTCCTTTCAACAAATTATTAACACTGATAGTAAATCACAAGAACTTTTGGGATGAGTGGTTACAGTTTACAGTTGAAAGCAAAGTGATGGGACAAAAGCATTTCTGAATATAATTAAAAAGTGTGCTTAGACAACAACATTGCAGATAAAAAACAACAGCCATGAACACAGTTGTGAATCATAGTAGTAAATGATCAGTGATTCTGTCTTATAGGCATTTTCGGCTAGACTGAAACATAAAAACACAGCTAAATTATCTATGAAAAGAATTAATCTAACAGGTATTTACCTGGTTCCCATCCTGTCTGGTTATTCTCCAATTCCTTCACCTGTGTTCATTATCCTCATCTTCCACCACTCACTGATAATCCTGCTATGTTTTAAAGCTCCTTGGTTTCTCTCAGCCGTCTCCATGCAGTTGTCACACCCTCTTCAGTTTAGCCATCCATTTTCTGAACTGGGGCCTATCCCAGTGTTCAATGGGCGAGAGGCAGGGTACACCCTGGACGGTCTGCACGTCCATTGCAGGGACACTCAGGGACACACAAAGACGAACAACCACACACACTCAAACTCACTCCTAAGAGCAATTTGGAATGTACCATCAAAGTAACCTGTGTGGGAGGAAGCGGAAGAATCCGGAGAGAACCCACAGAGAGATCACAGGGAGAACTGGAGAACAACCAGTCCCTGGTTCCCCTGCGATTCAAACCCAGAACCCTCCTGCTGTGATGCGATGGTGCTAACCACCACACCACCGAGTCACACCAAGCTCACTATCACTGTTTTTTTAATGCTTCCTGTAGTAATTAATTTGATTAGCTTTGGTTTCTGGGTTTCCAGCATAGGCAATGTTTTAGCTATATTAAAAAATACATTTGCTCATTGTTGAGTCATGCAGTGACATGACATTATGGCCCGTGCTTTTCCACTAACCACACCCGTATGGAAAATAATACAAATTGTGCAGAGTTTCTTAATACCATATAAAAACTTTCTTTTGTACCATTTTCTCGAGAGCCATCACCAATTTGTATGCATGCCTACCTCACATCTGTTATGCTTACATTTATTTTTGCACCTTACATGTAAAGTTTCAAACACAAACTTGTGCTAAATCCCAAAGTTTTGCTGCTTGAAGTCAGTCGTTACCTCTATCTTACTTAGTCTTTGCATTTCCATCAACCTGAAAAAACCCTCACAAATGATATTTTCAAGGCAGCGCGCTTTGAAAATGTTTAGCACAGAAACACCTTTTGAGGTACAGGAGTCGAGTGCATATTCACCCCCTCTCTCTTCTTCTCGTCTGTGTTTCAAAGATGTGATAAGATGTGACAGTCTATCAAGCCTCAGTGAGGTTTTTGTACCATCTATGCTGCAACACTCAGTTATCTTGGTGGCATTTTGCTGGCAATATAACAGAGAATCAATTATGAATACACTGATATGCAAAGGGTTTAGTAGGCAAAAGATGGTTCTTGACAGTTTGATGATATGATGGTGGTAAATAAGCTCAGTACATTCTTTTCTGTGCTAAAAATACTATCCCCCTGAGCAAGCAGCTGCACTTTAAGATAAAGAGGAGTGCAGCTTTTACAAAGGCACAGTGTGGAGTTAGAGACATGAAAGGAAACAACAGTCAAGATACTAATGATTTCCGGAGAGCCAAATGGGTTGGGTCTACTGTTTGCCTCCTTTGGCCCAACCTCTATTTTTTACTAATATTCATGGTCTCCATGGAACCAAAGTACATGATGTATAAGCAATTATAAAGACAATTCTGCAGTTGCAATTGTGGTCTACACATTTTATGGAAAATACCACATATGTCATTTTCCAACTGCACTGGTACATCGACTGATTATGTCTCTGTAAAAGTGTGCATCAACTCTCAAATCTATATATTGAGTAAGTGCTGAGAAACAAGTGACAATAAGCACACACTGTTAACTTCACTGGAGCTATCATAGAAACACAGTCAATATTTTTTGGCCCCTATTAACAAGTCCCTGCAGACACCAACTCTCACTATGATCAGAGTGATAATAACTTGATCAATTTCAAATGACACAATAAATCTTTCAGTATCTTTTTTTTTCAGACCCTTACTAGAGGAGCAATGATGAGGTCAATTATGAATATCTACAAAAAAAAGAAGAAAAAAGATCTTAATTGACACTGAAAAAATGTTTCGTACTGTAAAAAAATGCTAATGTGTCCTGTCGTAACCCCTTCATTGGAATGTGCTGCCGTGCCATCTTACATTTTACCCTTTAAGAAGGGAAATCTACATCTTCAATCCCACATTAATAATTTAGGATTTCACAATGTTTATCTGAATTGATAATAGAATTAGCCATCTACTAATCTCCTTACACTGACACGATTCAGATGGTGAACAACAACAGACACTTTGACTTCAGGTTTACAGCTTCAGACATTTCTACTTTGATCATACATGGTACAGGCTTGCATGCATGTATGAAAACAGAGCTGAAAATACTGGCAGGGATTTCAATCTAAAAAACAGGAACCTATAAAGTTGAATTAAAATAAGATAAGTGTGATATAGCACCGGATGATTTTTGGTTTCTTCTGCTCCTCATTCTCAAGCAAGAGGCTGAGGGTAAGTCTAAAGATTTAAGATGGAATGACACACCATTTTAGATTCTTATAGAGAAGACCTTTGAGGCTTCTTAGCTGCTGCTGATACAGTTCCACTGAGCTGTGTGCACTTCAAACGACTCAAGAAAAGGCATACAAGAAATCCCAAAAGGCCCCCTAATCAAATGCCACAAGACCTTCATGGAAACTGCAAAGCAATTCAGCCTATAGCAATGCCAGTGAAATGGTAAAAGCTAACACATCAAGAGCACTTTATTTGTTTCTTAAATCCCTTAGCCTTGTCGGCAAAGGCCAGATCCATCTTGTGATGACCTTGTGATGTATTTCTCACTTGGCAAAGTTAAACACTAATAGAGTATTGACCTGACCATAATATGCTGATACAACACTGTATCTTACAACAATATGGAAGTAAACTTGTTTCAGACAAAAAAATCGATTCTGATCTGATAAAATACCTAAACAATGCCTGCAAACTTTTTGCCAGTTCCTTTTTATAAGCAGCACGGTACCCTAAGGTTATAACAGAGCCGCTGAATATAAAAATGATAGTACTCTATCATGAGAGGCGGTCGTCTGTTCACAAACAGGCTGCCAGCTCTGGAGGGTTATTGATTATGTGGGGTCATCCTCTCCGCTTAAAGTCAGCAAAGCACTGCTCAGATGGGACAGAGTATCTGAACTGTGTAAATACAGAACATTTGTCTCTATTTTCTTCATTACTGTCTTTTTTCTTCACAATTGATTTGCTATGATGTAACAGAAAAGGATCTGCATTTTTTTTGTTGATCTTGGAATTTATAGGCAATGCTCACATCGCCACAAGGACAGCAGTGCAGTTTAGCCTGCTTCTCCAGCTGTGTATATCATGGTGATGACAAATGGGAAAGGACACACAATAGCCCCCTGCTTGGTCACCCAGCTTCCCATCCAGTAATGGATTCATCTCTATGAAATCATCACCTTCTATTAGGCCTGGACAGAATCAATAGTTTTCTAAATGCAGCGGAATCATTTATCATAGGAGGCCTTGTGCCGTCCACCTCATCTACCGCCTGCTACCTCTGTGACCCACCTTACTTGTATAAGCTTGCTCACGTGGAGAATTGAGCGCCAATTCACGGAAACCTCCTAAACAGCGAGGTTAGATTGTGCTATGCATGTGTGCCATCAGTTTCATTGGTTACAAAATACCTTAGACTGCACAGCTTCAAAACACGTGACCCATGAGATGTCAGGATTAAGAGGAGCTCATTGATGAAAGATGCAAATGAACGAAATTTGATGAAAATAAAAAAAAAACTGAAGAACATACGCTTGCATGTATGTGCACTGAGTTTTGATTAGCGGAAGAAAAATACAGAAAGAACAAAGATTTGGTCAAAATCCAAATAGGAAATAATGCTTGCATATGTGTGGCATTTAATTTATGTTACTTTAATCTGTATTTTGTGCCTTTGGTTCTTTCATTTTGAGTAAGTCCATAAAAAGTAGTTTTATTCTTCATCAGCCTTTATCCAGTTTTGTCTGTGTACTGAGGCCTTCTTTTCACAAACCGTTGGTGATAATTTCCCAGAATACTTTTCAAATTGTGTTTAAATCAGTGAGGTTTACTAATGGCTGAGGATTCACTATGTAAAACTAGTCGTGAAGTTCCATATGCAGCAGAGGGAGCCATTCAAAATGTAAGCAGCACCCAAACACACTTGATCTAACAGCTCTCAGCCCAACTCTTGAGGTCAGTCTAATTCATGGAAAAATATCTCCTCATCAGGGGAGTCTCTGAGCTGAAACAGTCGGGCCTGGCCTTTATTCTGCAAGCATTCTTCGGGGAGGCTGGGTACTGGCTGCTAAGACATGATTAATTGCTGCAATAAAGCTCATTATGGAGATTAAGTAGGAGTTACAGGGGCATTATTGATCACTGTCCTTTAAATAACCTTAAAGTTGTTGGTTTGTGCTTGTTTGCATGATGCTGGTCAATGCAGAGGGCAAAGTGGGAGGAGGAGACGCAATATGATGTTGGGACAAGACATTAACATAGCTGTGACATAGACCCTTAAACACCTTGCATGATCTCATGCTTGCTGTCGTAGGATCACATAACAGTGGGTGGGAAAGATCATTCCTGACATCGACAGAGAACAGGTGCTTCACACAGATGCCAACATGCCTCTGCCAGAAGATCACCAAGGAGATACTGTACCAAATACATGTTCAGTGAAAATCTTGTATTGTATTTTAATTGAGTTAATCTTTTTAAAATGCTCAGTGTTCTTTACCATTGCATACAGTTGTGAATGCCTGACTTTACCCATGTTGCTTACATTATCCACACGTACGTGAACACAAATCTCCTTCAAGTCATATGCCCATTATCTCATGGTCTTTATTTAGAGTAAAAAGAAATGTCGTACTTTGAATATTTTATTCTTCGTGCATGTTGTGGTAGGCTAAATCCTTCTTTTTTGTAATCCTCTTATCCCTCCTTGCTTCTGGAAACCCTTTGCGTTGACAACAAACCCCAAATCTCTCCATGAAAAACACAAAGGCCTTTGTGATTTCTTCGACTTTATATCGATCATACAATAACTCATCATTATGAATAGATATTTAGTGATACCATTCAGACTATTATCTTTGCAACAATTTTTATTTCATGATTGATAAACTGGAATAACACAGCAGTGTTTATGTTGGATGGCACACAATTAAACACTCTTGTAGTGAAGATGCTTTTAAGCATTTGGCACTCGTCGAGGTCAAAACATGCTGTGGCCCACACACTCATTAAGGCTGGTAAAGAAATAAAAAAAAACAATAAAAAAACCCAAAACAAAACAAACCACCATCGACAAAAAACATCTGGACAGACAACAAAAGACTGATGTCCACTGTCAGGCTCCTGAACATAGCATTAGCTTCCTTTTTAACATGTCATTCACTTTTCATTTGTCAAGTGCCTTGTCAAGAACAAACGTAGGTAGTCTCACTTCAGTTGGAAAATAGATGAAATAGTATAACAAAAACAGTTCAGTTAAAGATACATTAGGAAAGGACACAATCTGCACGGCAGAAAAACTGCAAATAAAAAAGGACCAAAATATAAATACAAAATTATTATTGTCTTGAAATAAAATAAAGTAAACATTTATTTTACTTCTGATGTACGGTAAAAATTAAAACAATGTTTTCGTCAACATATTATGTGTTCTTTGTCCAAATATATTGAGGTCCACAGCATTTTTCTTTCTTTACGCAGAGGAAAATCCAATTTAATGTGACGGTTATCAGTGCTTCCTCCTTCCAAGATCATGATGCTGAAGCTGAATAAATGAATATACACTGACGCTTTCTAGTGCATATTTGCTTGTATCAGGACCTATCAGCTCAAGTCAAGCTTCAGCACTCTCCATCAGCGCCATAAGTTCCCAAACGAGACAGGCTGGGACATCAGCACCTGCTCCTTCCATGCGGCTGACAGGTGTTAACCTGTCACTCACTCCTCAAATTGCCTCGCTGCTCACCGTTGGCTTCCCGTTTCCAGTCTTGCCAAACAGCCTGGCCCCATGATGGGAAAACTCGTTTAGACTGATGACGACACCTGCTTGGGCTTTGCAGAATTTCGCTATAATCGTCACGTCTGTGCATAAAAGGGCCTATTCCTATCACACTTATAATGCAGGGGTGCATATGTCACGCTCGGCACTGACACAGCCGTGTTTTGAGTATCTCAGTGAGATAAGAGAACAGCAGGCCGTGTGTTCACATACCTTATCGGACTAGGCCAGGAGAGGGTTTTGCCTGCTTTTTACACTGGTATAGATGTGGTTGCAAAATGTGTGTGTGAGACACAGGGAAGCAATTGCACAAAACAGGCTAGTTTTTACTCAGCGACATTGAATTTTAAAAGAAAACTGTTGAGTATAAAACCAGTGATAGGTTATAATGCTTGGGCAATACCCAGGAGCACTGAAAAATGCCAAATCCTTTAATGAATACACAAGTGTATGTAAGAAAACTACATTCAAGTAAGGAGAGAGACCCAAGCCTTAATATATCCTCTTTACTATCAGTAATCTAAAGGTAAGTAAGAATGGGCTAGTAGTCTAGAGTTTGGCAGATAGATAAGGAGATTCATTTGACATGGGACAATTTGGCATTATTTCATTCCCAAGCCAATTATGCCTTATTGATCTCTGCTCCAGTTACTTTCTAAATCCCACAACACAAGAGATGCAGCTGCTTTGACTCAGAAATTTCTTTAAAACCTGGGCTCTTCTCTCTGCTAGATACTTGCCTCTAGCTACAACATTAGCCCAAACATCATTTGAAAGTATTTTAGGTTAGCAATTAAACTCCCCCTTGTGCGGCATCCCTATTAACTTGACATTTGATACATGGAGTGGGTGGTTTCAGAATGCTTGCAAATGTGAATTTTGTCTCCTGTCCACAAATCAAACACTGCAAAATATCAAAGAGTACAATTTGCAACCTTGCCTGAAACACAAAATTAAAGTAAAGCTTGATTGACTGATAACAGTTGTGCAACATTAATACTGCTTTCAGCTCCAGCTTCGAGGAAACAAAAAAGCTTTTGCATTTGAACATACTTCTGATGAAAGAAAACACCAGACTTGCTCTTGCATTAATCTAAGACAATAGAGTTTTCACAGTTGAAAAAATGTTAAATGAAGGGAGTAAAAGAAGGTACAAACTGCTTCTGATGCCCTTTGACACCACAATGAAGAAAATAGAGAACTTGATACACACAATCTTGCAAGTATCACTGATGAGCAGAGAAAACAAATATGTGCCTTTGGATAGCAGTGTTAACCAAAAAGGCAATCACAAAAGGATGGTTCAAGTTAGAAAATCCATTTGACCCATCGCAACACAAGAGAAAAAAGTGCAAATTGCACTGTGTGAAGAAATCTTAGCTCAGAACAGTCCTCCACAGAACTCTTTGATCTCTCCACTTCCATCCACATTGACTATAGATCATAGTTTCTCAATTCTTCATTGTGTTTACCCCCCCTTCTTCATCAAGCACCCACCTCAAATTTCTTCCAATTGAAACTCAAATTCTTTTATACTTCTTTCTTGAAAAGGAGAGTCCTAACATCAGTGGTGGCATTCTGTTTAAATAAAATAATTGAACATGACACAACAAGGTATGTTTTTATTTTGAAAAAAAAACATAAGTGAAAATGCAAGGACAATGTAAGGCACTAAAAAAGCGCATTCAAAGTGCGAGCCTTGTGAGGTTTGGCAAATTAGGTAATTTAGGTGTGTGGAATTATGTTTCCATCATCTGTTTGCTAAACCAGAATAAATAGACTGTTAACAGTTGTCATGTACACATCACAATTTAGCAATTGAACAGGAGTAAAATCCACGAAAAGGAATACACAAAAAAATTCCAACAATTTGGCAATGTTGCATGAGGTAATTATGATGAATTCTTCCTTTACTACTGGTTTCATGATCATTGTGTATTTCCACAATCACCTCAGTCAATCATTTTAGCTCACAGTGTACTCTCAATCTGGTCGAGAAAAAGTCTTGAAAAAATATATTAAAGATAAAAGTGGAGTTTTGCAGCGAGAAACTGGAATTTATGGCACATTCAGTCCATCTTTGTTTTCCATTTCTCTGTCACAGTTTCACTTTTAGCTGAAAACATAGAATACTAAAGGAAGAACAATCTACGTAGTGATTAGAAAAGACAATTAAGGGGTAATAGCGATGTGTTACATTTACTGCCACTTACTAGTCAAATTCAATTTATGCACCAAAAATAGCAACTTAAGTAGAAATGTCTGCAGTCTGACAGAAAAACTAATTTGTCAATAGGGAAACTTCAGTAAAGTAGAGCACCTCTTTGACTGTCACCAAGTCAGTGGAAGAGGGATGCTTTAGAGATAATATTGAAAAAGGAATGCAACAGTGCTGCAGTCAGCATACAAAGTATAATGAAATACAGTGGATGGAAGAATAAGAACAAAAATGGTCGCTAATATTTTCAGTACTGAGGTCACAGTGTCCTGAGAAGGACTTTCCACATCCGAAGATCTGCCAGCAGAAACAGGAGAGTATGTCGTTATGACTTTTTACTTGTGGCAGATAAATGGAGCAAGATGGATGTCGAAAGAGGGCCTACCAGAGTCAGGGCTGGTAAGTGTTGCTGTTTGGTAAAGGGTGACAAGAAAACACGACTTCACATTTTATTTTATTTTTTGTAAGAACTAATCTAATCAAAACTGTTTAAGATTTTGACATCACTTGTACTAAGAGCATGATTATTTTGTCTGACCATTGATACCTTTTACAAAGTAACTGTTTTTCTACTCCAACCACACCATTCCTGAATTGTTGTGACTGATTCTTACAGAAACAAAGCTCGACAGATTAGGAGATGAGTAGTTGGTAGTAGAAATAGATAAATATATATTTTTTATTTATAATGGAAAATTTTTACAAGATTTCATTGAAAAATGCATTGAATATTGAGATAATTCCCTGTGCATACACGACGTGGCAGAAAATCGTTACAAATCCATACTTAGCTTTGCTGTGAACCTGTTAAAGGTTTTGCTTTGGAGTGATCACATGACTGCAAACATTGCAATTAACAACGATTTAATGGATGCTTTGCTCTACGTGTAATTTTTCACAAATATTTTAAAAGAATTTGAATCTAAAAATACTCTGCAAGGTGCCCTACAAGCACACCGGCAGAGTCCTTGCAGAAGCGGCATTGTCGATATATCTTAGAAGGTGAGCTCTGATGAGCTCTGAGTTCAGACAGAGGTGCTGTAATTACTCAGATCAGCTATTAAACATTCGCATGGACCCAGATTCCAGAGGAACGGTTATCCATGCTCCTCTGTCGTTCATAATGATCGGGTTGTGCACCGTGTTTTCTGTCTCTCAGTCCTTGCTGGTTACAAAGAGCTGTTGATTTCTATTTTAACTGCAGTTCGTCCAGCACAACTGCAGCTGATTTAAATGGGGATTGAGGAGGCCCTTTATGTGAGCGCGGTTACACTCACACATCTATGACAAGATGTGTGCAAGAACTGATGTGCATTTGTGAGTTTGAAGATTTGACCGGATAAGTGGATGGCTATTTGTATGGTTGTCTTACTCTACCTGAGTTTATTATTGCAGCACTTGAAAAGTACTTCACAAATAACGACTGATAAACTGATTGCTTGTAAAAAAAAAAAAAGTGTCTGCAGTCACAAACAACAGCACTTTCATCAAAGGCCGGTTGCCATGCCAGCTACTGCCATATGCCCACTTAAATATATCATATAAAAATCATACATTTAAGCCCTCCCCCCAAAAAAGCATGACTTGGGCCGTTTGTTTTTACAACCATCTGGCTCATTATATGCACAAAAAAATCAAAAGCCAACATAAGGTATTGTTGAGTCTGCAGCCAGGCACATAAATGAAGGAACTTTGAAAGTGCCATTAATGCTACATGATAAAAATATATATATATAAAACAAACAATACAAAATGTGATCAAAGTCATGATAATAACAGGAATAACATTTTTTAATTTCAGTCAGTTTTCTTGTGATTATCATCAACAAAATGAAATGCCCAGAGTTTAAGTTAACAACAAACCAATTATTTATGTCAATAACCCATTTTCTTAAGCAAAATTGTTTGTCATAGAATTTTGTAAAGCCCATAATTGTCTCTGTTTGAGGTCCGGTACTTTCAAATGTAATACCTTAATAGAAATAATTAATTGCTCTTTGTTATACCATTACACTCACTAATGGCTGTTTTCCATCATATCCGAGATAAACAGAAAATGGCACAAATCAGTGTTTAGTTGAATGCTTCCTGACTGATGATGAGACATAATGTCATTTAGACCACCGCTATCTGTTCTGACTTGCTCCTCTCACTCAAACTGTTATCAGTCCAGAGCCTGACAACGTCTCTCTATTTCCCAGCTATGTACGAGTCTTTGTCAGTCCACGTCTTACAATTTGGACAAGCCGCTATCAGTGAAAAGGTGTGTTCTAGCCATTACTTTCACCTGTGCGACAATAACCAGTGTTATCTCTTCTGGTGATGTGAGCCTGTTGCCGAGTTCCTGATTAATAGACATGAGGTCACGTCACCTCGCTGTCTTTTCCTTTCCTTCTCCTGCTTTCCTATTCGCCCTGTTTGTCAGGAGGGGAACAAGGCTTGAGCAGACAAGCAGAACTAAAAGAAAAGTATCGCAGGAGCAAGGTCACTTAGATGTTATAAGCATCAAGTAGGAATAAATGTTTTTAAAAACTCCCCTCTCCTGGGAACACACACGTGCATGCAAACACAGTCTTTTCCTCTGTTTTTAATTAAAAGCCTGAGTGACAACGTGGCCTATTTCTCCCATGGCTGTTTCAAATTGTGAGAGAGATAAGACTTATATTTAGGGCCCCTTATCATACTCACCCATTTTCTGACGGTAATTTTTCCCGTCTTGCCTTACAAGAGAGTACAGACAAAAAAAAAAAAAAAAAAAGCTCCTCTCTCCTCCAGGTTTCAAATCTCTGAAGCAAAACTATATGTCTTTCTCGCCCTCTAAATCCTCCCTCAGTCCCTGGAACATGATGTATAGGAATGAGAAATGGAGACAATGGATTTTTCTTGTGTCCTAATGTGCTTTCCATCTAAGCTGTTGCATTGAGTCAATATCCTACTGGCCCGATGACTGATTAACATGGCTGTTTCTGCAGTGTGTTCTTTTGCTCTGGTGTTTACTCAGCAGTGGGGCCAGGTCTGATGTCTAAACATTGTCATTTCTGAGCCCAGATCTATGCAGGATGCATAATGACAGATCAACATTAAAGCCCTGACAACACCAAAGAATCTGTTTCTCCTCAGTCTATTTTTGCATCCCAGTAAGGAGTTACTTGATCCTACCTCCTTCCTGACAGTTCAGCAACTGGATATCATTTTTGTCTGCCTGTAAGATTAGCATAAAAGGGAAAATGAAAAGCATTTTACTGTGAGACCCAACAGGAGATTTGACAAGCTCTGAAACATTCATGCTCAGCTTTGATTTGTTTGGCCTGGTTTGTGTCTGGTACGTCTGAAGGCATCTCTTAATCAAAAGAGATCTACCCATATCGCTTTGCTATATGATGCAGTGCCATTCGTACAGTGTGGTCGATGACTGAAGTGCATTTGTAAGCAAATTAGTTTTATTGTTTGTGGTTTTAACCTTGAGCGAGGCAACCTGTGATAATAAAACACTTGTCAGGGAGCCAACCCACAGCGAGCACAGTCCCCCCCGGTAATTTGAGATGTGGTTTTTCCGTCAGTACTAACATTCTGTCTTCATTATTGCCGAACGCTGCACCAGCAGACTGCATCTAGGAGGATTTTGAAAGTAGCATTTTCCTCTGCAGGAGAAAAGACGTACTGTGAGTGAAACTAACGTGACATAGCTTTCTCTTGTTCCACGGTTCAGCTCTAATCGAGCTTAGTTTATTCTTACGGCACGATACTATATATTTTCACATGTCTGTGATGGTTTACACACTTATAATCTGCCAGTGGCAGATGTCTAATTTAGTGCGTCCCATTTGTAATCACATGGTCCCACAATTAAGGTAACATTTTTAATGAATTGCTACTGGTCCACAGCAACTTTTGAGGTAACAATTCGCTGAATCGTCAGACCCACCATGGATTAGAAAAATAGTGGTCGTGCTTCAGTTAGAGGGTTTTTAAAATTAATTCCCAAGCTTCCCCAAGTAATGAAGCAATGACGGTGATATCCTTTGAAAATGAATACATTGCTCCCAAAGTTTCTTTTTCAATAACATCATATCCTTCCTCCACATTTTTCCTGCCTCTCTTCAGTGTTTGAACTGGAGCTGAGTTTAGAGCTCCTACTGTAGTGTTGTGTCCTTGAGGTTCCGTCCATTTCTCCTCCCTTACTGCTTTTTACCCCCTTTCTAACCCCCCTCCCTCCTCCTCACAGTGGGAAGATTTTCTAATATCCATTACTTCCACCAGGGTCAGTGCAATCCCACTGGGTCCTCCTAAGACTTGGCAGGTGCCGATAAGGGCCTTGCTCCAGACACTGTAATAACTTAACAAATCCCTCCATGACCCAGAATCCCCCTCACCAGCATTGCATCCTACTATTTTCCATAAAACCATTAAAATCTACCTGGTGTCATATTGGGAAAGGTGACTGTGAGGCTGATGTCCACTCTAAGCCTTGCACAACCCAATCCCTTTGTGTTAACACAGACAGACAAATGATAAACTATGAACAGAAGAAAGCAACTCTACCGTTCAATAACTGCTGTCAGCGTGTTATTTGGACAGAGCAGGTTCATGGACCCGGGATCAGGTGTCACTGTATTTCTGATTCAACCAGCCATAGTGGGCATGTGGTTTAAACTGTGGTCTGTCTTTCACGCCTTAGTTTTTCTCTCATCCATTCCTTCACCCTGTTCTGCTTTCCACTCAAACACAGAGGGTCATTTTGGCTCGGCCTCCTGAAGCTCTTATCCGATAATGATACCCGCTTCAGTGGGTATCAGACCACAACTCCACCCATTTCCCTATCCCCCTCCTAACACCCGGCTTTCAGCCTGCCAATCATGCTTTAGCCGCTTTCAAGTGGCAATAGTGTTAATGATTCATTTCCCTTGTAATCCCCGCTCAGACTGATAAGCTTGTGACGGCTGCCGTTATTTGCGGCTGTTTTCCATTGTTTGCTGTGTTAAATTAAGCCTCAGCAATCCATCCGTTGAGCCCCCATGAGCATAGAAAATACTCACAGGCATGAGCCACCCTAATAGATTA